ATGCTTATTGTCACGGGAAACTTGGGTGCTGCTTTTTTTCTTCTTTTCGTTCCAAAATACTCGACGTATTTGGTTTGGTATTGCGACTGCACATGACTTTGAAAGTCATGATAATAATATACATATAATTCTATTAATGTATTTTAATTATTAATCTATTTTAACTATCTATTAATATATTTTTTACTTATTATTATATTTTCATTACTAATATATTTATATTATTTATTAAATATTAGAAAAAATATATTTCTAATATGTTTTTATTATTAATTAAAAATATTTTAATTTAATATATATTGTATATAAAGTTATAATAATTTGTATTAAAAATTTATAAAATATATTAATATATTTATCTAATTATATATTAGGTAAATATATAAATATATACGAAAAATACATTAATATATTAATATTTTTATAAAATTATATATTAATATATATACGAAAAAAATGAAAAATATATACGAAAAATATAATTTAATATATTAATATTTATAAATATATTAATATATTTAAAATAATATATATGTGAAAAATATATACAATATATATTATATTTTTAACACAAAATAAATATATATTAATATATTCAATATATGAAATTTTGTAAATAAATTTTTTATATATTTTATATTAAAATATATTTAATATTTATTTTTTTCTTAAAAAAAATAATATGGGCCGCAATCCGCAGCCCGACGTGCGTAGACCGGCCGCAATCGCGGCCTGACATCTTGGAATGCCGCCGCAATCGACGGTCGGCTCACAAAAAAAAATATCACGAGCCGCAATACGCAGCCCGCTACGGGTATACCAGCCGCAATCGCGGTCTGGCACAATGGAAAGCCGCCGCGATTGGCGGCCCGCACACTAAAAAAAAATACAGGCCGCATTTCGCGGCCCGCTGAGCGAAGGCTGGCCGCAATCGCGGCTTGGCACCTAGGAAACCGGCCGCGATAGGCAGCCTGCACATTTAAAAAAAATTAAAAAAAATTTAAAAAAATTACCGGTGGAATCGCGCGCTCCTTGCCGTGTCGATGTTGTCCACTGGCCATTTTTCCGATTTTTCTTCGATTTTTTAGTAATTAAAATGTTGTTTGATTTTTTGTTTTGATTTTTTTTTTTCAATGTATGAAGAGGGAGGAGAGAAGTGAGAGTAGAGAGAAGTGAGAGTAGTGGGGCGGATGGTGTACATGGCGCTTTTGGGTTTTTTTTTTTTTTTTTGCTTCTTTTTTTTATTAAATAAGGGTAAAAGGGTAATTTCGGGGGAGGTATTAGTAATTTTTAAGTAGTATTTAGCAATTCAGATCACGAAATTATGATAATGTTAAATTTTGGTAAAAAATAATTTAACTTCCGAAAGTACAGTCGATTTTAGAGTTTGACTTACCAACTTTTTCGATTGATGCTTTCTCTCCTAAGTAATTGAAACTGACAATTTGTCTACTCAATTAAAAACCTTAATATGACACAAAAACATTTTTAACTCAATTAACGATAAATTTTAAATTGATCTTTAAAATTGATTTAGGCTTTTAAAGCCCATGGCTAGACGAATAAAATGAGACATAATTTGTCGGTTTTTGAAAATGATGCTTCTATAATCGATCGACGAAGATAGTACGAGCACGTGTATATAAAAAAATTTCAATTCAAAATTTTTGATAATTAAGATATCCCATTTTTGATGAAAATGTGTCATTTGAAAGCTTTGATGACGAGTTCCCTAACGAAGTAAATGTTACGAAAATCCAACGGTCGGGTTTCGGCTAGTAGCCTAAAAAAAGTTAACTTTTGATTAGTAGTTTTCTAACTACTAATCAAAATTCGACCGTTGGATTTTCATAAGATTTACTAGTTAGAAAACTGGTACTGCAAGATTTCAAATGACACATTCCAATCGAAAATCGATATCTGTATTATCAAAAAAGATGAACTGAAATTTTTTTCTATACACATGTGCCCCTACTTTTTTTGTCGATCAATTACCGAGTTATTAGTTTTCAAAAATCGACAAACCATACATCATTTTGTTTGTCTCATCATGGACTTCAAAAGCCTTAAATCAGTTTTAAAGATCAATTTAAAATTATTAATTGAGTTAGAAACTTTTTTGTGCTATATTAGAGTTTTTAATTGAGAAGACAAATTATCAGTTTCGATTACTATGAGTGGCAAAGTGTCAAGAGAAAAAGTTCGTAAGATAAACTCTAAAATTGGCCATACTTTGGGAGGTTAATTTTTTTTTTCCCTTAAATATTAATATGTATTTATGTATATTTGCTTATTTATGTATATTTATATTAACAATATTATACTTTTATAGTGTTTGTTTAGAGTGTATTATATATTTGTTCAAACTATATGTGTGTCAAAGGTGTAGGATGTCTAAAAATAGAATTAACTATGGAATATTTATTTTTATTTTTTTAACTTAAATTTTATTAACAGAGAATGTAATGAATTTTGTGGTAGGAAAATAATTTCATTAACAATAATGATATTTGTTTGTTTGCAAGACATGGCCAGGGGCCTACCCAGCCTTGCCCTGAACCGGTCTCGAATTTCACCGGTGTGTTGAACAGAAACCTTGGCCATGTAAGTCGGTTCCGATTCTTAGTGTTTTTTTTGTTCCGATGGTCCGGGTCGGGTCGCAGTTTCAAAGACGGGCGGCCCTTTGAATTCTTTTTAATGGACCGAGCTGGGTCCGAACCGGCCGAAAACCAACGGATCGATGACTCGGCGGTTCAGGGCCAGTTATATGAACCGACCTATAGAAATGGTCGGGCCGATTACTGGCCATCAAATTGAGGCTCGCCGACCCATCGGGCCGGGCCGAGTCACGGCCCGTCATTTGGCCACGCCTAGCAAGAAGTGTATGAAAGAAGAGAGGAACTCAGTAACTCACCGACAATTGCTGCACATGGTGATGGTGTTAGGTCAGCTCTCCTTTTAGCCTTATCTCTCTTATATATATATGAATAAGTTTGTGCCCTTCTATAGGCGACACGTGTCCATTTTGAGCTCTTAAAAAATTGACATGTGCCCAATTTTATTTACATGTTTGCCACTCCTATTGTTTCAGATGAACAATGCCCTTAGTTTTTCCCAATAATTACGAGTAATGCCACTGCTTAGAGTTTCAGCTCTTTTACATTGACCGACTTATTGGCATTGATGTATGGTGGTCTGCGCACGTTTCCTCATTTGTCACGTGGCAGCTACTTTTAGAGTTGGGTCATTTGTTTCTTGATCGTGAAGTTTTGCAAACTACTGATTTGACCGACCAATCACTTCCCAACAAATCATCCCACACCCGCAGCAATATCTTATAAGATTTTAATAATGCTCCTTCTCCCGTCAATTTTCCACCATCTTAAGTACTCCCTAACGTGTCAATTTTATTTTCCTTACTATTTGGCCAAATCTCTCTCTCTCTCTCTCTCTTTCTCTCTCTCATCCGATCTTCTTTCCAACATAAATTGAAAACACAAATATTGATTTTAAATGCTTAAGATTAGTAGACATGGTAACAATAACATGAAATATTGTAAATTTTAGATTAATAACAATAAAAAAGGAGAAAAAAACTAATATGAAACCATAAATAAATAACT